CATTACTGCGTCGATGCATTTTCAACAATCGAACTAAATCGTTTAGCTTTCTTGAGGACACATCAAAAGGATATGAGGGTTGAATGTATAAAGGTTTGGAAGATTCATTTTCCAAAGGAGACATGGAAAGTGATAAACTTGGTCAGATTGTTATACCTTATTCTTACATAGGAGGACCGCGCTATATGCAACAACTATACCATGACACAATGGCAACAGTTTAGTACTATGGAAACCCATATTTATTTGTCACATTCACATGCAATGCTCTATGGGAAGAAATTGTGGGAGCTTTTTCAAGCATAGTGGGACCAAATAGTGAGTCGAACCCGATGGTTGTTTGCAGAGTATTTCACATGAAGCTAAGCATGTTGATTGATGAGTTCAAGCATCAATCCTACTTTGGGAAGACAATAGCAAGTATGTAATTAATATAAATTGTTTTGCTACTCATATATCTGTTGTGCTTACGTCGTTTTATAAAATATTCATCTTTTTTATGAACAATCATTTATACTGTGGAATCCCAAAAGAGAGGCCTCCCACATGTGCACATGCTAATATGGTTGACTACATAAGATAAATTGAAAACAATTGATTACATAGATGAGATGATTTCAGATCCTCATCTTGATCCAGAAGGACATGCGACAGTTGTTAAGTTTATGATGCATGGACCGTGGGGAGTGGATAACCCTTCTGCACCATGCATGAAAATCGGGAAATGTTCCAAGTTCTTTCCAAAAGAGTTTGCTTCAGAGACTTCTTTTGATAAGTTTGGCAATGTGGTATATCGACGACAAGGTTCTGGAATTAAGGTTCAAAAGGAAAGACGATACTAGACAATAGATTTGTTGTTCAATATAACAGAAACCTATTGGTTGGAGCTCAAGCTCACATAAATGAAGAGATATGCCACAAAGGAGGATTGTTTAAGTATTTGTTCAAATACATTACCAAAGGTCCCAATAGGTCTATGATAATTGCAGAAGATTCAAAAACTTCAAAGCAAGTGCCCTCAATAAATTCAAAGAAAACAAAGGATGAGATTTAGAAATTTATTGATTGTAGATCACTCTCTTCTTACGAAGCTTTCTGGAGGATAAATGAATACCCAATTCACTACAGATAACAACCAGTTGTTCGTCTTGGTGTGCATCTTCCAGTACAACAAAATGTTTCCGACAAGAGACAATCAACGGTCGATAATGTCCTCAGAAACCCAAAGGTTGGGAAAACTCATCCTACTTCATGGTTCTTGCTTAATCGAGAAGACTGTGAAGCAAGGAAGCTTACATATGCACAAATTCCAGGTTCGTATACATGGAATGAGGAATACAATGAGTGGACTAAAAGAAAAGGGGGGTTTGCCATTGGCAGGATTGCTTATGTTCCTCTAGGCAGAAGCGATGTATTATTTCTTCATTTATTGTTGACAAAAATATGTGGAGCTTTGAACTATCAAGATTTACGAACTGTCAGAGGAGAAATTTGTCCCACCTTCAAAATGGTATGTGAAAAATTAGGACTCCTATCTGATTCATCTGAAAGGGTTAAAGTTCTTCAAGAGATCTCAATTTCAAGCATGCCATACCTAATACGAAGTACATTTGTGTCAATCCTGATGTTCTGCGATGTGCCAAATCCTCGGGCTTTATATGAATCGTCGTGGAGGCAGATGGGTGAAGATCATACATATACTCTACGAAAACAACTACCTTCTTCTACATACCAACCTACAGACGATAGATTACAGAACTGGGTACTACATCAACTGGAAAATTTATTGGGAACTTATGGTTCATCTCTTACCTAGTTTAACCTCCATGAACCAATAGATTTGGATCCAGATGATGGATCGAATTCACTAATTAACCAACACCTGAACTTCGATGTAGATGAGGAGCAACAGATGGCAGACAAAATGCTTAACTGTCTCAATGAAAAGAAATTCAAAGCTTTCTCGGCTATTTTGTTGTCAGTCAACAACAATCTTGGAAATTGCTTTTTCTTATATGGACATGGACGGACAGGTAAGACCTTTCTATACAATGCAATCATCACAAAGCTTAAAAGTCAATCAAAGATAGCAACTGTCGTGGCTTTGTCTGAAATTGCTGCAACACTGTTGCTAAATGGTACAACAACTCACTCGAGATTCAAGATACCACTACATGTTGATAATACATCGACCTGCTCAATAAAAAAGGAACTCACTTGGATGAACTGATATGAGAGGCTTCATTAGTTATTTGGGACGAAGCTCCCATGACTCAGCGCCATGCATTTGAGGCAATCAGCAGAACCTTTTGCGATTTAATGAACATTCATTTGTCAGGAAGAGGATATAAGTTATTTGGTGGAAAAACAGTCGTCTTTGGGGGAGATTTTAGACAAACTCTTCCTGTCATTGCAGAATCCGGAAGAGAGTAGACAGTTGACGGTTCAATAAGCAGATCATCAATATGGAATTCATTTAGAGTGCTCAAACTCTCAAAGAACATGAGGCTAAACGAATCACAAAGAAACAAAAAAAAAAAAGCTTATGGATTCACATTCGACGAATGGGTACTCACTCTTGGAGATGGAAAGTTGCCAACAACATCTTTCGTGATGAACACTCCTTCAAACTAGATTGAAATCACAAAACAATTCCTGGTGGATCCAGGAATAAATCCCATTGAGTCAATCACAACAAATATATATGATTCATTTGAAGAGCGTTATAGAGAAACTTCATATTTAAGGGGAACAACGATTGTTGCACCAACAAATGTTACAGTGAGCGAGATCAACGCATTCATGTTGGAAAAGGTGCCAGAATTCAGTTGCTCTTATTTTATTTCAGATTCCAGTGTTCAACCATGGTCAAATGTATGTTGCAGTGTCAAGGATGAGATCATCAGATGGCCTCAGATTTCTCATAAAAAACACAGAGAATGTCCCACCGAACTTTACGGTAAACATTGTGTGCTCCGAAGCCTTCATAGATATTAACATGAGTTGAGTGCACAACACAAAATGCACAGCCGTTCACAGAAGGTACTTTGAAATGCAAAGTGAGACTTTCAGTGATAATCATTGCAGTTAATATATTTAGATGCTTCATTTATTTAAATATCATTTAATTGTTCGAAAAATAGTTCTCTGACCAACATCAGAATGTTTCTGTACACAGTATGGAGATTGGGAAACATCAAATGAAGAGTGAAGTCATATTTTGGCAAAAAATGTGGGATCTACTTGGATCAAGTACATGCAGACATCCATTCAAAGTGTGTGATCCAGAGGTAAAGAACACAATTATTAGAGAAACTTAGATACTCCTCCTTTTTTTTGGACTCTACAATGAATCCAGAATTGTTATTATACAACAAGCTGATTTGTTCTTAGTGTTCTTATAAAGTTCAAATTAGTCTTTATTAAAAACCAACGTTTGATCTATACATTCCACAAAGTAGTAAAAAGATAACTTTCAATTAACTAACCCGATGAGATGAATACCCCTTACAAAGAAATTCCAACAAGCCCAACAAAAAAACTCTGGCCCCATCGAGGCCCACAAAAAAATGGGGGATGGCCCTCCCCAGCCAAATGGAAATTCTGGTCCACATAAAAGTTATAGCCCAATTTCAGAACATTTTGTCAACCATTCGAAACCCTACGTTGCCTTACAATATGAGATTTGATTTCAAAAATTAGATCAGATCCGTCGCGAAAGACTTTGTTCTCAAACCAGCAGACAAACCCTACACGAAGGTAAATCCCCTTATCCTTCTACTTATGCGCCACAGAATTTACAGTTGAAAAAGTATTGCTCATAAATTATATTCTGCGAAACACAGGGACCCTACCACCATGGACGCTTTGCACCAACAATGGAAGACCGCACAAGGCGATTGCATGGTCCCCACAATCCCCGAGGTAAAAACCTTCCATTTAAATCCGTGGTCCTTCAACGTATCTCGATACCTCTGCAGAATCTGTGATTTATCCTTGTCTGTTTCGTGTGGTCTGAGACCCGGCCCAGACCCTGTGTTGATCAGACCTACAACACAGGGCCTCCAAAATTTTGGGCCTCACACAACAAGCCCATCACATATAGTACACATAAAATAAAAAATTCCCAGTTTGAATTGAAATGGGGTCGTGAAATCAGAATGGGGCTGTGAATTGGAATTGGGCCATACGGCCTTTTGACTGTTGCCCTTTTTTATTTACTCAATCACTTATGGGAATTGGGCCTCGAGACTTACTTCTAACCAATTTTTGTTTGTTTTTTTTTTCAGTGACGTGTGATTGGAATTATTAATTTTTTGTAACTATCTTTTTATAATAATTTTTTTGTAACTATTATTAGTTTTTTTTAGATAAGGGTGATATAGGTTACTTTTTTGATTATGTACTACTAAAGGGATTCGAACCTGAGACCTCCAGGTTCAAAGCCAGCATCATTACCACTACACCAATCCCTTGTTCATTGTAACTATTATTGTTATGTCAATTACAAAATTCGAATAAGATAGTTGTTTGGGTAAAAAAAATAGAGGATTGAGGTGTTAACTTTATCTCAAAACTACAATATTATTCTTTTTGTTATAATTTTATGAACTTATGTATATTTATATTGTTTAATAATTTTTATTTTCAATAAATTTGCGAGGGAAAATTTTTACGGCCACATTTTTAATTTTTGAACAGGGCCTCCGAATATCATGGGCCGGCCCTGTGTGGTCTTTATCGGAATTTCAGAAACTATTGAATCTTCCATTACTTTTCGAGGATTACATTTGCGAGTCAACCACCGTAGTGTCATCGCTCGCCTTATAAGTACATAGTTTGAGTTCCGAGAGGCAACCTTATGGAGACAAAAGACACTGCACATGTTTTTGGCTCGATAAAAAAAGTCGGTACCACTTTTCGAACTTTTAAATAAATGATAAATGCCAAAGACCTTTACTAAATTATACATGTTTGCATTATTAAACAATTAAAACTTATGCGTTGTGTTTCACTTATCATCCATGAAATTATTTTAGAGTGTTCGAAACCATGATACAAATTCTTGCTGTGTGTAAAAAATGAATGCTTGCTCTTGCAGGAACAAATGATAGAGTTCTACGTCGACGAGGAGCATATCGACAAAGTTTATGCCAAAGTTAAAGTAGGACACTTGTATCGGGATGATGACATTGTTGATGTCCCTGCAAAGAGAAAGGGCAGAATAGTTCCAAGGGAGTTGCAGCTGATCATGAAGTCCGACCAACTTATCTCCCACATTGAGGAGGACGAAGACAATCCAGAACATCCAATTGGCTCATACCTTGGAGCTTATTTTTCAATGGTGCCAATGCAGAGAGATACCTATGCCTGCCATGCAGGTAACATTTCATGATTCTCTTTTACACAAATAGGCTGTGTCAGATGGGCTCACGGTTCCAGAAACCGTTAGAGATATCCTTAAGCAATTCATCATGATCATACAAGATGTGAGGTAAGAGAAAATTTATGAAACAACTCGACCTATCTAATCATATACAAGTAATCTTATTTGTCCATTAAATCAGTGGTGCCAAGGCTGTTGTTCGTTACCGCGGCTATGACATCAACAACTACTTAAAGCAAGCACCAACAGTTGAGTCACACCTACCTCTAATCACCACAATAACCAATGTTATGAGATTACCTCCGACAGCCAAACAAAAGTATCAATATGAGTTTGAATCCACAGTTGCCAGTCATCTCATCATAGGTCCTACGCAGTTGCCTCCAAGGATATCATGAACATGTACAACTATTTTATTGAGATTTTAAATGTCACCTTTTAAAAATGCAAGTAAACATTACTAACAACGTTCTTTTTTCCACAATTTAGCTTCCTTCCAAACCGCAAGGTAGTGTCATACATCAATGCTACCACCAAAGAAAAGATTAGGTACCTGCATCCCAAACGTCCTCCAAGGGAAACTCTATGTAAAATCAAAGCCAAATTTGGTTCTCAGACAACTTGCCAAAAGGTAAGTTCAAAACTTAAGGCCTTCCAAAGATCAAATAATACAAAAACTAGGCCTATTACCCATTCCTATTTGAAAAAAAATGTTCCAGATCCTTTATCATTGCAAGTTTACTGTCTCAAAAATTGTGTACCGAAGGAGCATCTGTAGGTCCACCCAGGAAAATCCAGAGTAAGTTCCAGCAACACCTGTACATACCTTAACTTACCCTCATGACACATTTCAAACATGACTAACACCCATCTATCAGAATAGAAGCATGCAATTGATAATCCAAACCAACACGAACAAACACAAATTTAACGTGGTTCACTAACACCATGTGTGCTAGCTAATCCACGGGCAAAGGAGAACAAATTTCATTGATTTGAGGAGAGTACAGGTTACAAACCAAATTATGGAACGGACAAACCAAACAAACTAACCTGACTAACCTCACTACAGAGTTGTGGTGATAAAAAGTATTTATAGAACTCTTCTCCTAATCCCAAACAGAAAACCAAACACTTTTTCCAAACCTACAAGGAAAAGGCCAAAGCAAAGCCCAAACATAAACCCAACCAAAATAGGCCCAAAACACCAAAACAAACCCAATCAAATTCAAGTCATATTCTAACAATCTCCACCTTGACTTGAACTCTCTCCCAAATACCAGATGTACCAGACGCAACCAAAGTTGCCATATGTAGTGAGACACCTCCAAATCAGTTGTTCCAGAATCTACCCTGCCTCCAAATTCCCCTAAGGGCGGTCAACAACTCAAACCATTCGGCAGGTCCAACCCATGCTAAGACTTGCAATTCAGAACCAGCTTGGTGCACTTATCACCAACAGAACATGTCAAAACAAAACCTTGTAGATTATACAAGGCACCACGCTTGACACTTTTCAAAATCACCTTATAACCCTTGTAGACAAACAACACTCCACCTTCACCTTTGAAACTGAAACCCTTGCCGTCGAGTAGACTCAAAGATATCAGATTCTTAGTCATCTCTAAAATATGCCTAACATTGTTCAAGGTGCGAAAAAACCCATCACGTGTCCTTATCCTGACGGAGCCTCTTCCAACAATCTTACAGATAGCACCATTCGCCATAGAAACATGCCCTCCATCTATCTGGTCATAAGTTGAAAAACACTCTATGCTTGGACACATATGATAATCAGCTGCAGTATCTAAATACCACATATCCTGATGATGTACCTGCTCATTCACTACTAAGGCTAAACCATCTCCAGAAACAGAGTTAGTTTCTTCCGCCACAGAATCAGATGATTCCTTCTTCTCTTTATATTTCTTTAGTTTAGGACAATCAAATTTCCAATGCCCTTTCTCCTTAAAGTAATGAAAAATATCATCCTTCAAACCAGCAGAATTCGAATTTATATTCGCCTTCCTATTACCAGATTGTTGTCTCCTACTACTCGTAGCAGCCAACCTAGATGCCTGATTTTCCGAACTTGAACTAGACGCCTCATGTCGAACCTCTCTAGTATGTAGAGCAGATCAGACATCTTCCAAAGACAAACTATCTTTCCCAGCAATAAAAGAATCCACAAAATTCTCATATGACTGTGGCAAAGATACTAACAGAATTAAGACAGCATCCTCATCATCTACTTTAACAACAATATTCCGTAGATCTAACAAGATAGTATTGAGTTGATATAGATGATTCCTGAGAGATGTGCCTTCATACTTATAGCAGCCATTCCTATTCTCAAACAAAACTCCAAACAAACTTCTCACCAAACAAGCGAGACCAAAACACAACTACCCAAAGTCAACTTCAAAGCGATTCCTCCACCGAACCAAGCTAAAGAATTGAAAGATACCTCCACAAAGCAAAACTTCAGTTCAGCGCCAAATTCCCAAAACCACAACCAAAGGCTCTGATACCACTTGTCAGAACAGAAGCGTGCAATTGTTAATCCAAACCAACACGAACGGACACAAATTTAACGTGGTTCACTAACACAATGTGTGGTAGCTAATCCACGGACAGAGGAGAACAAATTTCGCTGATTTGAGGAGAGTACAGGTTACAAACCAAATTTCGGAAAGGACAAACCAAACAAACTAACCTGATAACCTTACTACAGACTAGGGTGATCAAGAATATTTATAAAACTCTTCTCCTAATCCCGAACAGAAAACCAAACACCTTTTCCAAACCTACAAGGAAAAGGCCAAAACAAAGCCCAAACACAAACCCAACCAAAATAGGCCCAAAACACCAAAACAAACCCAATCAAAAGTCTCCATTATGAAATTCAAGCAAAATGCCGTGACGGTCCAGACGAAGTTGATGTCATACTTGACCATGAGGTAGCTCTATCGCTCATTTGTATGCCACCCACCAAATATCGCATGTTGGACAAAGAAGAAGCCAAAGCCCTAATTGTGGAAAACTGTGCAAAGACATTTGCAGGAGAATTGTACATTGCATGGCCAGATCTGTACATTTGCAGGAGAATTGTACATGAGTGTTAATGTGTTATTAATTAAAACATTGCAAATGGCTAAGTACCTAGATAGTTTCCTTTGCACATGTATAGCCATGTGGACTCCGATTCGAGATACAAATTTAGTTACTTTTTTTTGGGCGCCCTTAAATTTAAATGATTGCACAAAGAATAGCTTAATTATATTTCGTGTTGAATCACTCTCATTCATCATAATCATGGAACCTTAATAGGGTCAACCATGGAAAATCAAACTATAATGACTTAATTGTTACACTCATCCCGGCGCAGAGAGCGGGCAAAAAAACCCTCTTCCCAATGAAAACCCTAAAAGTAAACACAAGCACCAGTCGCCTCCCAACTCCCTCTCCATCCCTCCTGTTCCCTTCGACCATAAATAGAAAAAAGGTGGCCGTCTCCATGCGTCCTTTTTCATAATCTACGTTCCAACCACAAGCAATCGCACACAGCCAGTTTCAGAGTTGTTAATGGAGACTACAAAATGAGACGTTGATGGCATATGAATCGATTGATGATAACAATCGGAATGTTTGCGGCGACAGGATCGGGCTCGATGGGCATTCATCGTAACTTCTTGGAGGACTTGGATACGAGGTGGCTGGTTTTGCTGGGCAAGAGATAATGATGATGCACTAATGGCCATTGGCCAGTTCCTACTCGATGACGATAGAGAGCTGCGAAAAGAAGATCAAGTGATGATATGGAGATTTTTCGAGTGGCAGATCCATAATTGCCGACGTCCCTTGGGTCGTGGGGAAGTCTATATTGTTTGGGGATGTTTTTTCGTAGTTTCTTTTCCTAAATTTGTAAATTTTCCTTTTTACCTTTCAAATGTAAAAATACAGTTCTTGTGTGAAGTGCATTTCCAATGACTTTACTACTTACAGAGACAACTATGTATCGTTAGAAAAATAACATTACTGTTAACTTCGTCAATATGAAAACGCATTACCAGTGACCATCTTCCTTATAGAGACGACAATGTGTTAGAAAAAAAAAACATTGTTAGTAATGTTAATATGAAATGTATTCTCGATCACATTATTATTTATCATGACGATTCTTTGTCGTGATAAAAGAAAAAGACTGTCAAGTTCGTGAATTTGGAAACTCAATACAGATGACTCTTGGCCCTCACAAACTAGCATTTCAGACGACTCGTCACCCAAAAATTATTTGTGACGCTCGTATTTGGAACGGAGCACGCCGGCTGCATGGCGTCGACAAAGCGCATTTGCGATGGAATTTGACCTTTACTGACGGAATCTTCTGGTCACCAATGACAGTCATTTTTTTAGTGATTAGTCGTCTCTCAGCCTCCAATTCGTCAAATTAAAAATTACCAACGACAAGAATTTGAGATGTCACCTCTGCTTCATTCTCCTTCCATATCCTAACTCTAGGTAAACTCAAGACTCTTTGCCGTAAATTAAACGATCAAATCTACTTTATATATTTAATTATTAATTACAAAGGTAATTAATTTTATATTCGCTAATACCGGTTAGGATACCAAAGTACCGATTGAGATAACGAAATATTTAGGGATTGGGATACCAAAATTATTTAGGGATTGAGATTGTGATTGATTTTAGGGTGTAATTCGATATTCGGTATTTCAGTATTTGATATTGGGAAACTGATACCATACCTATTACCACTCCTACCGGCTCATATGAATATTTATACCCTTGTACAAGTGTCTTAGGTATTAAGTCAAATTACCAAAAGGTACATAAAAATAAAACTAAAACGTGCTATATACAAGTCCAATACTCCCCCTCAAGGTGAAGCATTAAGATCTCGAATACCAAGCTTGGACAATAAGCTGTGAAATCGCGCGGTGCACAGAGCTTTGGTGAAGATGTCAGCCAACTGAAGAGAAGTCCCAATCTTCTGCGGCAGGATGTCCCTCGAGGCGACCTGTTCACAAAAAAAAGAGCTGTCCATCTCGACATGCTTGGTTTGCTCATGAAAGACAGGATTGGCGGCGATGTGGAGGGAAGCCTGGTTATCACAATAGAGATGGATAGGGATGTGTTGCGGAACCTGTAACTCCTGAAGAAGAAACCGTAACAAGAGAATCTTACTAGTGGTACTAAATCGCTAATGCACGAATGACTTGACGCGCTCGAGCAGGTCCAAGCTATCCCCAGTCAAGACAACGTCGTCAATGTATATCAAAATGGCCAAGAAGACCCCAGACTTTTGGTAGATGAAAAGTGAATGATCAGCGTGCGACACCCGAAAGCCAAACTCGATCAATGTCTGTGTGAACTTGGCATACCAGTTGCGAGACGCATGATGAAGTCCGTACAGAGACTTCCGAAGTTGACATAGGCGAGTATCCCCGTCCTTAGAGAACCCTTGCGGTACCTTCAAGTAGACTTCTTCCTCTAAGTCACCGTGCATGGAAGCGTTATGAATGTCTAGCTGATGAAGCGGCCACCCCCAATTTGTATCCATGGACAAAAGAACACGGACAGTAACCAACTAGGCGACGGGAGTGAAGTCAATGCACTCAAGTTGAGTGAAGTCCTTAGCAACCAAACATGCTTTATAACGATCCACCGTACCAACTAGGCGACAGGAGTGAAGTCAATGCACTCAAGTTGAGTGAAGTTCCTTGAGCTTTAAGGGCTACAATATCATTCATCATGGCGACTCTCCAGTGCTCAAATTTGACAACGTGGGCATAAGTGTGGGGCTTGTCAAATTTAGTCAAAACTCCCAAAAATAGTACGGTGAGCATAAGAAAAACGATGATAAGTAAAATAGTTTGACATGGGACATGCAACATGGGAAGAACTAGCATTAGGTCAAGGTTACCTCGTACACACCAAGAGCAGGAGGCATGTGATGATCTCGAGGAGGATTATGCCGAGGAGCCAGGGGCACGAGAGGTGTTACCGGAAGGGGAGCTACTGTCTAGAGGAGCTAGAGAGGATGAACTGCCATCTAGAGAACCGATAGGCCTCATGGGTGGCGCCTCTGCCTCGGTGAGGGGCTCGTCAGTAAGTGATGACAGTGGAGAGGAGGTCGCATCCAGGGAGGAGGAGTCACACTCACCTTCGTGAAGAAGCTGGGACACATCGACAGGAGCAGGTATAGAATGACCCACTTGATCAGCGGGTTCATCGTTAGCAAGAAAGGGAATGTCAGTTGCTTGTGCATGCATGAGAGGAACGGACGTGCGCGATGATGAAATGCCTCGAAATGGAAGTCACAAGAGACAATGATCTTCCTGTTGCGCAAGTCATAGATCCGATATCCTTTCTGGGTGCTAGGATATCTGATAAACATCACTGCTAGACCACGTTTCACAAATTTAACAAATCCATGATGAGTATCCTTGGTGTAAGCGAGACAACTGAAACTACGTAGATGATGGTAAGTAGGAAAGCGGCCTAAAATCACCTAGAAAGGAGTCTTACCAGCAAGACTCGTCAAGGGTAGGCAGTTGATCAAGTAAGTCTCGATAAGAACACAATCACCCCAAAACCGTACGGGAAGGCCTGCACGAAACATTAGTGCTCGAGCCCTATCCAGGAAATGGCGATATTTTCACTCGACAACCCCATTCTGCTGGGGCGTGTCAGTACACGGAGTCTGAAGAACGATACCGTGTTCTTTGTAGTATGTCCGGAGAGAGTTGGTCTGAAAATCAAGTACGTTATTACCTGGATCTGCCAAACAGGCCTGCCAAATTATGTAACCGCGATCTCACAATGTAATATGAAATGTCGCTCTACATATGACTTATACTTCATCAAATAAGCCCAAGTGGAGCCACTGAAATCATCCACGATGGTGAGAAAATAACAAGATCCATCAAAAGCAGTCGTGCAATAAGCTCCTCAAATATCTAAGTGAAGTAAATCAAAACAACCACTTGTTTTAATTGAACTGGTAGGAAAGGGAATGCGAGATTGTTTGGCTCGAACACAAGAATCACAATGCAAAGAATCCCAAGGAGAAATAGTACAATCCAATACATCTTTCAAAAGAGCTAGTTTATCACTAGAGGCATGGCCGAGCTTGTCATGCCCAAGACTGGAAGTTGACGCTGTCTGGGACACTGAAAAGGCTCGAGTGTGTGCAGCAGCATCAGACCAACTTAGATAGTAGAGCCCATCCTTAAGTTGGCCCACTTCAATAAGCGTCTTGGAAGGTAAGACCTGAAGGAGGCATAAATCACGTAATAACGTCACTGCCACGTTATGATCTTTGGTTTAACAAATGACCGAGGTTGCACTTGAAAGCCGGAACATGCAGAACAAGCTTGAATAAGATAGTGCTAGATAATCTAATAGATACCATTCCTGTAACCGGTATGCCTGTGCCTTCCGGTATTCAGACATGCGGATGAGCTATACTACTATCCAAGGACTCTATCCATCTAGCATTGCACATTATGTGCTCATTACAGCCTGAATCAATCAACCAAGCATCAAGATCAGAGACATTACACGCCATGCGTGCTTTGGGAACCGAGTGACTGCGGTGGTGGTCAAGAATTCCTTCAAATTTGTCGTCGTTAATCCCGAGATGGCGATCCAATTTCGAGCTCAACATGAGCAGCCTTAATATGACAAGTGCACGAACTTGACTTCTCCTCATTCTTCTGGCACGAGGATGGCCTGGCGGGTAACCGACGAGCAGGTAGCACGACTCGCGAAGGTGGCCCAACTTGTTGCAGTGCGTGCAACGTGGGTGATCATCCTGGAGCTCTCGACCCGACTGTTATTGCCCACGACCTACCTGAACTTGAAAAATGATGGTGTCGACTGCTGGCCTATGATTGGTGTGATATGGCAATGTTGTTCTTCGGCAGAGACCATCTGGTATGCCTCGTCAAGAAAGGGTGTTAGCTTGTTACTAAGTATATGTGACCTTACCACAGAATAGGCCTCGTCGAGTCCCATGAGGAATTCAAACAAGCGTCCAGTCTCCACTTTGGTTTGTTGCTGTTGCATCCAGCTGCAAGAACGCCCACCACATATACATCCTGCACATGAGCAGCAAGGCACTCCCCCTATCATCTGCATCTCGTCCCAGTATGAGCGAAGGACAGTATAGAAGGCGAAAACAGACATTGTATTGGCAGAGATTGTTGATGGAATGTCAGAGCTCATAATCCCGCTGAGTTGACCTACGACTCAAATGATGCTGCAGATTACCCCAAATATCACGAGTTGTGGTAGTGGCGCGGACACTGTTGCGTACCTATTTCGCCATGGCGGTCTTCAACCATCCTTTGACTGTTGCATTGCAGCAATCCCAGACATCACGGTGGGTAGCATGACCGATTTTAAGGCGCGTCAAAGTACCATCAACGAAGGCCAATTTATTTTTAGCAATTAGGGTTACTGTGATGTCGTTGACCCATTTGCCGTAATTGGTGTCATTCAGAAGGTTGCTTCCGAATAGTTGTACGGGATTCTCCGAAGGATGAAGGTAGAGAGGCAAGCTGATCGGGATAATGTCGTTACCTGAAGAACTGACAATCTTGTCGTCATTGGGCGTCTCCGGTAGCCATTCTCGATGTAGATGATCCTGAATCTTATTGCTCTAATAATATGTAAAAATAACAATCGCGAAAAGAAAAGACACAAGAATTTAACGCGGTTTCGTCGAAGATCGGGACTAGTTGATGGTGAGCATGGAGCTCACGAAAGTTTCACTAGGTCAGCTGTTTTTGCTAGCAGCCGCCAACATTGTATCTCTCTAGGTTACAAAGAGCTTCGACTCATATGGCTATTTATACGCTTCTACAAGTGTCTCGGGTATTGAGTCCAATTACCAAAAGGTACATAAAAATAAAACGTGCTATATACAAATCCAATAAAAAAATTCTTTGTCAAACACTTCCCCGACCTGATTTCTTCCCGATTTCACCATTTTGGTTCTTTCTCCCTCAATTCTTAACAAAATTGAGTCATTGTTTTTCCTAATGGAACTAAATTCACTGGGCTGCAACATATCAAATTTCAGAGCATTTGGAGCTGATGTTTGGAGTCGGCACTCAATTCAAGTGGAAGGTTCAAAACTGTTTCCTACTTCCTTTTCCACTACAACCCTTTCTTTGATCCAATCTCTTCTTAAACACATATATGTGTAAATACACCACACTAACATGAGTAAACATAATCAAACACCCTCATATAACTTAATTTTCACTTCCCAATCATCCATAATTCATTAATTGGTCAAAATTGATTTTAGAAGCTTGGAGCATCTAAACCCTTTAACATCTCTAACCTTCTTTCTTTAGCTTCTAACATAACAAACATGATTTTTAACATGTTTTCAAGCATAAAACAAGCTAGGTTCAAGCTTGAGGTAGAAGGAAGAAGATGCAACCATAGGGTTAATTTCTTACCTCTTTAAGACCTCCCTTCCTTGTTCTCTAGCTTCCACACCTTGCCTTAGAACCCTTGGTTTCAGATTTAGATGATGGAGGATGGTGGTGGTGGAGTTGGTTGTGGCTTGGAGAGAAAGGAAAGAAGAAGAAGGAAAGATGGGAAGGGAATGGTTGAGAGGATGCAGATTTTTGCACCTCTCCCTTCTACAGAATCCTCTTTCCTCTCTCTCTCTCTCTCCCTCCAATCATATTCCAACAAATGGAATCAACACAAGTTGGTTGATTTGCTCCTCCAACTTTCAATTTCTATAATTTAAGTCCATCACCACGCTAACTTAATAATAATTGAACTAACCACTAAAATCAATTCACAAAACCCTATACACCATAATCACTCAATTCCCGGTTTTAGGGATGATACTTTAACCCGATCACCATTGACGTCATAATGAAATAAATTTTTTCATGAGGGTACAGATGTTACATTGTAGCTTGGGTGTGTTTTTATACTTTTAATGCATTTTTTATAGTTTTGCATGGTTTCATACTAAGGTAGAAAGGAGGAAGAATGTATACTTTGACCACACGTTTTGAACCATAACTGGGAAAGGAAGAAGTTTTTGCGACAATATAGTTCGTCGCATAAGAGAGTGTTCGCAATGAAAGTGTCTTCGTAGAATATGATGATTCAGGGACAAACATATTCGTCGCAGTGCAAAGGCTTTTGCGATGAAAATTTTGATCGCAAATTTTTTTCCACTATGTATGCTTCCAACAATTCAAATAAAATTGAACTTAAAGCTAATGTAATTAAGTTGAAGATATGTATCATTTCATAGCTAGAATGTGGAAGAAATACTATGTATCATAAACTAACCAAAAAAGTATGAGAAATCTAACAAAAATTTAATTTTTTCAGTCAAAATCAAGGTTAAGAGATAACATATATGTATTGATAGAATTAGAAAAGTGAAATGAAGATATTTTGAGTTAAATGGAAGATGGAAGGATCAGATGACATGTAACTGAGTGTAGAAAATATAAGAATTACATGTAGAACTATTGTGATTTGTGAATATGAAAATGAAACGAAGATACCTTAATCTATACCCAACCCACCTCAACATTTTCTTTGTGAGTATATCCATATTAACCTACCACCCAACATTCATTATGAATTGATAAATGTTTTATAAAATGTAATAATGGATGTTCATACTCCCAACTCACCACATAGAATAGAAGGGTGCATCTACTCCTTTTTTATAAAAGCCATACGTTGAAGACGAATGGAGAGACACAATCAATCTTCTCCCTCATCTCTCTATATATATGTAATCTGTCTATGCGTATGGTATAAAAGTTGTATTACACTTTCTCTTCTACTTCGTGTTTCTATGGTGTTGCGTATTTCCATGGTGGGATAATTATTCATAACGAAATGAGCATTGTCGGACCTCACACACACACACACACACACACACACACACACACACCTAGTGATGGCAATGGGGCGGGTGGGGTGGGTACGTCAATACCCATGCCTGTTCCACGCTACTATGGGTCGAGATAGGTAATACGTGCGCGACTACGGGGTCATGCGGGTCGACCCACTCTTACATGTTATTTGAAGAAAAAATACTCCCAAATTTTTTATTTTTTACGATAAAACGAAGGGGGAAACACTTTAGGAATGAAAAATTGTGATAATAGAATGAGTAATTGAGTCTAACTAGTTCAGAGATAAAGACTTACTAGTTGAAGAAAAGCCTAAATAAGAGAAATATGAGTAGATAGTAAGATAAAATATGTCAAGAATGGGGCCGAGAGAGAGAAGCGAGTCGAAAATAGATAGCCATGTCCTGCCCCACGGTACTGCTAGTCGGGTAATACCCACCCCATCACAGACAGGTCGGGTAATACTGACAGGACGGATTCAAATTGCCATCCAACACACCACCACACTCTTTTTTTTTGTTTTACGAAACACACACACACCCACTCTCAAAATGCATTATTTAGAAAACCCTTCTACGGGTTGTTTGGATCAGGAAAATTTGACAGGGATTTGGTCCAAATTCTGGCCTTTCCAGGAATTTAACTAATATCCTTGTTTGGCTAGCTCTTAAAACTGTCGAGATTTGGGCCTCCAAAATTGTCAAATCCGGGCCGACCCGGAATTGGAATTAGTTGTCACCCCCAGGTATTTTAAAATTCGGCCATCATTATTTTTTGATTCCCAATGTGCCGTCAATTGCTCTCCCTCATCTCCCTTATTACCCCGACCAAAATCTCCTGTCGGAGTTGGTGATCCCAACGGCAACCTAGTGAACCTAGCTGGAGTAGGCCTCACCAAAGCAATCTTTCGCTGCTGTCGTCGAATCTGGAAAGAAGAGAGGAAGATCGCCAAATAATGGGCTGCATCGACGATGAAGGGAACTCGCCTTCTTGATCGAATAAACATCAGTAGCCGAATTGAAGTGCTTCAATTCGAATGGAAGTGGCCACCTTGTGACTCGATGAGATTTTGGGAAGATTCAGTCGCCAGCGAGAGACAAGTGGAGGTAGAAGAGAGATGAGGAAGATGATTGGCCGATTTCTGAAACCCCCCAAATCCGGAGGGCTGAACTTCGTGAGGTTCCCTATGGTCGGGATCGAGCTTGCCTTCGCTTGCACCTTCGTCGCTCTGAGACCAATCCATTCCTGAGCACCCATCGATCGCCACTGGAATTGTCTTCGCAAGCTGGAAGAGAAGCATATTGGAGCAAGAGCTGAAAACAACATATGAGATTAGAAGAAAGGAAGGGCGATGCAAGGAGGAAAAATTTTGTGACAGAGGAAGGGAACTCCTGTTGGTGAAGAGGTCGGAGCCACCTCACCGCCATTCCTTTCCTCTTCATCTTTCTGGGTCCTCCGGATGTGATTCTCACTCCGGCTGCGGAGAGGAGGATGAGGAGGAGCACCTCCAAATACAAGATCTGCTCCACCTGTCATTCTTGCCCCGGACTCCCTAATCTTTGAAATCGCAAGCACCAAGAACATCATCGATCTAGTTATTCCAACTCCCAAGCTATGATATGATTCTCCCCCTAATCTAGTTCTGAAATCCAAAGTACAAAAAAACAGAGTGACGAAAATAAAGAGTTTGAAGAACTTGACCCGTTGAAATACTCGAGTTTCCGCTTCCTCCATCTCGATCTCGCTCGAAACCAGTCTCTGCCACATGATAATCATAGTTTATGATCGAAAGATGGAAGCTAGATCTACGTGTGTGGGTAGGTAGTTCAATCCGGAACATGTAAGGCATGGGCAAACGTTGGAGGACAAAGACGACGTCGAATTGAGAGGCGAGAATGGGTTGTCGACGGCGGCTTGATTTTGTCGGAGGGTGAAGACGACAATCCTTGCAGTAGTTGTTGTGGATGTCCTCCTCCGCGAACGGAGATGACTAATGGCGATGGCGATTTTCTCTGGATACAACGAAAGTGGAAAGGGGAAGGATAAGTGGCAAAATTAACTTTAGCCAAATGGGACCCAAATTCCTAATCTGTAACCAAACACATTATTTGGACCAAAACCTGAGTTTAAAATACTAAGGTTTTTAATTGAGTGATTGTGAGTCAAATATCTCATTATGTAAATTCTTAATCCAAACGACCCTCCTAAAGAAATTACTTAAAAAATGGTCAATAGCATTTTGTATCCCTCTACCTTTACAAATTAACAAACGTACCCCTCCACTAAATTTTTGCACGAACATACCCTTGTAATATGAAAACATAACGAATTTACCCCTCTATCTATTATCTATTAAGTGACCGTTAAATGCTCTAAAAAATCGAAAAAATAAATGCTCTGACAAATTACCAAATTGCCCTTCATTTGCTGTTAATTTTGTTTTAATTATTTAAAATTCCAAATCAATTAAAAATTAAAAAAATCCCTAAACTAATACCCTCTTTCGATGGGAAACGTTCATGTCTCCCTCAAACTGACTGACTCCCCTGTACTAAAGTCTCCCCTGAAGTCTTCCTCTCGATTTAATCCAGCGGATTCTCCTCGCCGATAGCTGATGCAGAAACGCCGGGGGGTTACGTCGAGACGAGACGGCGAGAAGACATCTAGTTCTCCGTTTGATAATGCAGCAGTGTGTCCAGCTTTTGCAGGTTCTCTTGGCGACATTCTGAAGCCAATTTCCTGGTAAGACTCCGATGGAACTCCCTCGCTCCATCATTCTGTTTCTACACCTCCTTCCAAATCTCCTTTTCATATCAGACCTACCACCACCACCACCACCACCACCACCACCACCAATTAGCTAGAAACTAATATCGCCACACTCCATCACTCTGTTCCTCGTTCCAAATATCATTTTCATATCAGACCGCCACCACAACCAATTAGTTAGAAACTAATATCGCCTGCTTTTCCATAGAAAAGGAAAGCTCCAACCCAAAGCGCAAGTTGCTCATATAGTGCATCATCATCGTCATTAATCCCATGTGGTGATTTCCTTCTTTTTGCACAACAGATCCTCTTTCTGGGAAATTGGGGGAGCGACAAGGGGGGCGTTGCAAGTAGGGGTGTCAGTCAGTCGGTTTCGGTTTAACCGAAAACCGATTTCTCAGTTATCAGTTAAACCGAGCCATCCCCTGTGCCTACCGACCACCGACCGTGAAGAAAGCCACGGTTAGCCTACCACCCGACTCTTCCTCTCTCCTCATCTTCATTCTTCATCTCTCCTCATCTCCTCGCATGCGCACTGAAGCTCCAGCGCCGCTGCATCTTCTCGCACCCAAGCTCTGCCGTCGATTTCTCTTCTTCCCTCATCTGATTCTGGATCTGCCGCTGCCGCACCCGCACTCAAGCTTCGCCGTCGATTCCTCTTCTTCCCCCATCTGATTCTGGATCTGTCACCGTTGCCGCTCCTTGTCTCTGCTTTGGCTGGCACGCGGATGACGGAGGGAGGAAGGCGGGCTCGTTAGGGAGGGGTGGTGGTTGGCTGGGGGGTGGGTGCAGGTAACGGGCTCGGGGAGACGAGAGGTGGCTGGTGAAGGGGCGGCGAGGATGGCTGCGCTAGAAAGGGGTGGCTGACTAGCTGGGGAGAACAAATTAGGGTTCTTCTTCTAATGTTGGGGGTCGTTTTGGGTGGGATTGGAGCGGGGTCATTTTGGGCGGGGATGCGGGGTCGTTTTGGAGTAAAGGGGAAGAGGTCGGTAAGCCGGTTAACCACCAGTTTTCGACCTTAATCGGATAGCTGATCCTCTTCCCCTCTCCTCCGACGACCGACCGTCGACCATTGAGGACAGTTTTCGGTTAGCCAAAAACCGGTCGATTCGGTCAAAACCGTCCGGTTAACTGCTAACCGAAAACTGCTCTGCCACCCCTAGTTGCAAGGAAAAGCGGCAGTTGCTGCATTGTCAATTTTGTTCGAATTGGGGGAGAAATTGAAACCAATCATTGGATTGGATTTTGGGCTGCTGAAGGATAATGACCTAGTAGGAAGAGAATCAAGGTGGTCGATGATCGGCGGCGGGTGGTCCAAGGGGATTTGGTAATCCGCGTAAGCATCATGACCGACGGTTAGTTTGAAAGGCTTGGATTCGATCATGGTGGTGAGAGCGGAGGCTTTGGGTGATTTCGGGCAGCTTGAGGGAGACAAATTCCTGTCAAATATGAGAGGATTAGTTTTAATTTTTAATTGAATTGGGATAAAAATAAGTATAACAAAAATAACAAAAAATGAAGGGTAATTTGGTCATTTTCCAGCATATTTAACAGTCACTTACCAGATAATTAGAGGAAAAGGTAAATTCGTTACGTTTTAGTAATAGAAGGATATGTTTGTGCAAAAAATTAGTAGATGGATACTTTTTTAATTTGTAAAACTAGAGGGGTACAAAATACTATTAACCCCAAAAACAAACTAAAATTTGTTATATACACGCGGGCTGTAATTGTAACAGGCTGGGCATCTCATGGCCGACACCTTATGGTAATTGGGACGACGATGAGAATTGGACCCATGCACACTCAATTTTCCTTGGGCCTCTATTAGTTTAGGAATATAAGCCCATGACCTGCACTTGATAAATGAGTTACAGAATTATTATAAAAATAATATACAATCAGACTTTTCTTGAGAGTAAGAAGATGAACAACCGGCGGCAACAAGTATTTTGGTGGCTTGGTGCAATTAACATTCTAATAATAGTTCATTGAATTGCAGAATTGTGTGATAAAAGAAGTAATTTAACATTTCTAATAATTCACCGTCTGTGGTCCAATTAAGTTAAACAATCGGTGACTTAGTTGCATTTTTTTATATATTTTATTTTTCATAGTTAACAATACCCGAACAATGGACTATTGATGTTTGTGTTGATATAAGCAACTCATCATGGTATCTAAACAAATACTATATAGTGGTTCTCCTCTTAAATCCCTTTAATTTCAAATTTCCTGCCTGCTGCGCATAGAGCGGAGGGGCCTTTAGGTAAAAAAGCATTATTAATTTACATGGGCCTTGGAGAGCAAAAGAGAAGGACAGAGGGCATTTCTATAGACCCAGTTCTTAATATTTTAATTTAAATAAAACTATTAATTTACATGCGTCGTGTTGAGAAAAAGGGAGTATGGAGGGCATTTTTGTGGGCACCGCTTCTTACTTTTTAATTTATATGGCCATTTATATTTCCACAAGAGAGCAGGAGAATAATTTCATCCTGAATCATCTTTGCTTCGTTATTCATATTAATTTTGTTTAGATAAAAAAAATTTACAGTAGCTTTTAAGTGGTGGATTTCAATTGGGTAGAGTTGAAGATCAATATGACAAAAACAAATGCCTATTCCAACTAAAAACAAAAACATGAATCCGCCGCATGCATGGAAATAAGCATGATTAAAAATAATGCATGGAAATAAGTACATGGAATCCTTTCTAATAAAGTTAAACTATTAATATTTTACTATTGTTTAGTTAGGGATAAGTTTATGACTGAGAACATTAAAAAAAAAATCACGAGAGGAGCTCTGTCCTCTCTCCTCCTTTTCGCCTCTGCTCTTGGACGGTGGTTATCGAGGTTCGCGGTGGCCATCCTCAAGGTCAGCCTGTAAAACCAGGGGTGTTGTGCGCCGGAAGGGGTGCCGGCTCTGTTTGGCTCGGGAGGGAATAGCTGCCGGAATACTAGGTGTGTTGAAGACCAAAGCAAACGGAGAAAATGGAGAAAAGCCCAGGTCTCGTCGGTCCCCTTCTCGAAGGGGGAACTGGATGAAATTGGTTGGCGACGAGCGAAGCGGCTCCACCTCAAAAAGAGATCGATTCATGTGGCGTTTACTGAAATCGAAACTGGAGAAGAGCGTCCAGTCAAGAGTGGCCGATGCAAGCCTCAGAAGTTTTGGAGATTCAGTCTCCCGCTCTCATCGGAATTAGACGAAGACGAGGATGTTTCTCCCTCGCTCGCGGGGTGTAGGGTTCAGGCCCTTCGAACATCAACTGGGATCCCTTTACCAAGTAATCGGAGTAACCAATTGTCGCCCTTCGGGGTTGGGTCGTGCTCCCTGCCGCCATTGAATGCGCAAGAAGGGAGTGGAGTGCCCTGTTTCTCGGTTGATTTCCCCCATCCAAGAAAATTGGAGATTTGGGTAGATTATGTGAAATTGAAGGTTCCCCTAGGGGAGGAGATGTATGGCGTGAGGCCAGGAGGTGAGAGAGAGGGTCCACAGTTCTGGAAGCCTTACTCTAATGGCGTCGGAGTGGAAAGACAAGTCCGGTCAGGGGAGGGCGAGCCTCGCTGGAAACTGGTGGAGACGCGCTTTGGCGAGAGACTTTCGGAAGGATTTGTCGGCGGATTTCCAGGGCTGTTGGGCGAGATTCCTGGGAACCGAATCCGATCAGGGGGAAGGAGTTCGTATCCCCAGTGGAGATTTCCTTCTCCAAATATGATTCTATTTGCCAACAGATCGAAGGGGTTTTCCCTTTTCATGGAGAAGAGGGACTCTGTCCCCTATAAAAATAAAGCTACGCTCGATAGAATTCCAAAGTGCTCTGTTCGGCGCAAGGAAGGATCGACTGCAGCGAGTAATTTCGGAGGCTCCCAACCACTGTGTTTCTTCGCTGAGAATCAATCAGGTATGGGGATTTCTCCACTGTCTTCTCCCTACTCTTTTACAAGTGTTGTTTTCTCTATCGAGGAGGTGGGTAGTTCCTCTTGGCCGGACAGGTTGCAGGCTCCGGCGATGGGTTGTGCGCCACTGGAGATGGAGCACCCCTCCCAGCTGGGCAGTTCGCTGCCGTCGAAGTGTCTGGAGTTTAATCCTCCGACCAGCAGCCCAGGGCGCCCGTCTCGCGTGCCGCAGCTAGAAGAGGCCGGGCTTTTAGCTCTGCCGACCCCGACGCCTTGTGCTGTTAGCAGCAAACTGGAGGCGAATAATATTTGGGGAGCCATGCCTAGGGTGGCAGGACCGATACCATGCCTGCAATTATTTAACTTTACTGTTTTTACTTCGGTCAAATCAGGTGTTCCTAATTCGTTGTGCTCCCAATTGTGTCAGGTACCCACGATGGCTCGTATTGCGGAAGATCAAGTGATTGAATTCTCTCTCGCAGAGGTTCAGTCGGTGAAGTTTAGAACTTCGCGGACTCTGTTGGGGAGACTATTCTCGACAACCAATTTTACTCCTAGTGAGTTGCGAGAGGGCTTGATCGAGGCCTGGCGGGTGCAAGGAAGCCTTAGGTTTTCGGTCACAAAGTATGGCTTATTTGAAATTGTTCTGCCGAGTGATGAGACGAGGGTCTGGGTTCTTAAACGGACTCCTTGGATTGTCAAAGATAGAATTTTACATCTCCGGTCTTGGACTTCAACTATCACGAGACCTGTCTTTGATGATCTGGCTATTGCTCCCTTCCATGTTCAATTGTGGAACGTGAAAGAGGACTGCTGCTCCAAGCAGTTTGGCAGAAAAGTGGCAGGAAGGAAAATAGGCCAAGTCTTAGAGGCTGATGTTTTTGCATCCAGAGAAACAGAGGAGTGCTTTATTAAGGTGCATGCCCTCATCGATTTCACTAAACCGTTGAGGTCTCAATTTTTGGCAATTAGTGATGAGCTTGGGAGCTTCTGGGTAAACCTCAAGTATGAATTTCTGCCGACCTTCTGCTACCTCTGTGGCCGTGTGGGGCACTCGAAGCCAGATTGTGTTTTTGATCCTCCTCCTGGTAAAGAACGCTTTGGCCCTCATATGTCTACAAGAAAATTAGGAAGGAAGATCTATATGGATGAGGAGGAGTTCCCGAAATTCCACAACACTAGTAAATCGGTGTGGGTGAACAAGAATATTCAAGTGAAGAAGAATGAGAGTGCTAAGAATGCTAGACCTCGTGAGGTACGACATGTGATTAATGATCGCTCTGTTGAGCAGGTGGATCATCAGCAGGAGACTCATGGCTATATGGAGCCGCAATCTCGGGAGCAGGAAGCCAGACCTAAGCTGTTAGGGAATCGTGATAGCCCTAAACGGGTGGTTTTCAAAGCCTCACCACGAGTGAAGATCGGTGGTGGGATTCGTCCGCGCCCAAAAGAAGCTATCTCCCAGAAAGGCTGCACCTACCACCCGGAAGGGCTCTAAGGGTCGTCAGCAGGTGGGAAAGCGTGCCAGAAAGGTGTCCTCCAATCGTCAGCAGCCGGAAGACCAGGTTGAGATTGTTCTGGAACAGTCCAGAAGGAGAAGACTGATCTTACTGGAAGAATCGGAAGAAGAGGAGCTGGCTGGTACGAAAGCCGCCCAATCCAACCAACCTCTGGGGAATTCTCGAATTCCCCCAAAGGATACTTCTCAGAATGGAGATACGGTGCATAGGGCTCGCCCACGACTAAAAAAGGGTGGCGCAGACTGCATGCGGGATGATCTGCGAGAGCTGGAGGATGAGGAGGTTGTAGCCCCTCGGGATGATGAGGGTCAGCAACAGATCATGGATTCAGATGATGAGCAGTCGACTGGAGACCAGCTCCCATTTGAAATTAAGAGAAGATCACCAAGTGGGGTTTCCATAGAGACTCGTAAGGTCTTGACTGGGCGGGTCCACCAAGTGGTGGAGGCATTTGAGGCTGGATTGGTCTTTGAGCAAGAGGAGGATGTACCTATCAATGGGTCTCGCTCGAATTTCAATGAGTATGGGTCTAATCTCATGGACGGATCGGTAGAGACCAGGAAGCGGGTTCTTGATGAAGTGGATGAGGAGATGGGAGACCCTCCTACCCCGAAGAAGCAATTTGTGGAATCAACTGATATTCTAGAGAAGGTGGAGGAAGCCAGCCTCGAGTGGCCCCCAGTGGATAAATGAGGCTTCTGGCCTGGAATGTGAGAGGAATTGGGCCATCCCTCACTTTCCACACTGCTGTAGGGCTTATTCATTCTAATAAACCGGATCTCGTATTTTTTTCGGAAACGCGATCGAGCCGGCGTGTAGTTTCCCGTTGTATGCTGGGTTTAGGTTTTCCTCTTTCGCATTGTTTTTTTGTAGGTGCAGTCGATGCATCGGGTGGGTTAGTTGTTGCTTGGTCCCCCGGGATTGACACTTCGGTGTTTTGTCATTCAAACTTCTATATTTGTTCGCAAATTAATGAAGGAGATTTTTCTTACGTTGCGATCTTTGTTTATCTTAGTTGTAATGTTGCTGTTCGAGCTTCCCAGCTGGATCAATTGCGAAATGTTTGTGCGAATATCATGCACCCTTATGTGATCATAGGAGATTTCAATGCTACTCTTCATGAGAGTGAAAAAGATGGGGGACGGGAGTGGAATGCTTCCCAAGCCTATAGTCTCCGCGAATTGATTCATGATCTGGGGCTCCACGACCCTGGTTACCAAGGGGATCGATTCACTTGGACTAATAAACGCATGGATGCTTGCATTCGTGCCCGTCTGGATAGAGCGTTATGCTCTTAGTCTTGGTTGGATAAGTACCCGGAGACTCTAGTCAAACATTTCACGGATCAGGGGTCCGATTATCGTGCTCTTCTCCTTGCGGATAAGCCATTTGTTCGTACTAGTCGGCCGCTATTTCGTTTTGATGCCCGATGGGCGGATAATCCGGAGGTCAGGGCCATGGTCAACTATGTCTGGCAGGAGGAGGTCCAGGGCACCCCTATGTTTCGGCTTTGGGAACGCCTAAAGAAACTCCGTCATTTGCTGTATGATTGGAGTAGAGCGGGCACGACTAATTCCCTGCGCAATATTAAGACTCTTCAGGCCGAGATTGATAGGGTGAAATTGCTCCACCCGGTGGATTGGGATGAGATCAAGAGGCTGGAGATGGAACTATCGCGCCAGTGGGAAGCAGAAGAGGTGTTCTGGCAACAGAAATCAAGGGTAAAATGGTTAAAGAAAGGAGATCAGAATTCTGCCTACTTCCATACAGTCACAAGGGCTCGGCGGAAGAGAAACTTTGTTTCTGGGCTTTGAAATGAGGAAGGGGAATGGGTCACTGAGGAGACTGGGAAGGCTTCTATTGCCACAAATTTTTACCAGACCCTGTTTACTTCAGAAAATCAGGTCCCCAACATGGCCGAGAGGGTGGCGAGCCTGCCGATTGCCCATAGTGTTACGGCGCAAATGAATGTGCGGTTGACGGCGGAAGTTTTTCCAGGTGAGGTCAGGCAAACGGTCTTTGCGATGGGATCGAAGCAGGCTCCGGGGTCGGATGGTTTCACCGGGAAGTTCTTCAAAGCTTTCTGGGATATTTTGGGTGATTCGGTGGTTGAAGCAGTAATCTCCTTCTTTACCTCGAGTAGGATGTTGCGGAGTTTTAATCATAAATGGCTCACTTTGATCCCTAAAGTGGATTCGGTGGAAACAATCCGACAGTTGCGGCCGATTAGCCTCTGCCAGTTTGTTTACAAAGTGATTACCAAAATCATGGCTGAACGGCTGGCTAGCATGCTTCCGGAGATTGTATCGGAGGGACAAAATGGCTTTATAAGGGATAGACAGATCATTGATAATATCCTTATAGGACATGAATTAATGCATTACCTGAAAATCAAAACGCAAGGGAAGAAGGGGTACATGGCTCTGAAGGTTGACATGGAAAAGGCCTATGATAGAGTCGGATGGCCTTTCTTGCTTGCGGTTTTGGAGAAAATGGGTTTTAATGCTGTCTGGCGAGGATGGATTCATGAATGTCTTCGGTCCTCCTCTTTCTCGGTTCTAATGAATGGTACACCTTCGGGATATTTCACTGCCTCTAGGGGTCTTCGCCAGGGGGATCCGCTCTCCCCCCTTTAGTTTGTGCTCTGCACGGAGGGGTTTGCAGCTCTCCTCCGACAGGCGATCACGGAGAAAAAGTTAGAGGGTGTGAAAGTAGCTCCTCGTGCTCCAAGAATCTCGCACCTGTTCTTCGCGGATGACTCTTATTTATTCTTGCGCGGTTCGCTGCAGGAGTGCGAGAACTTAATAGAGGTGTTGAATGAATATGAGGACCTAAGTGGTCAACGCGTTAATTTGGAGAAATCGGCGGTGTGCTTTAGCAAGAATATTTCCGCGCCAGATCAGGAATTCTTGGCCACGATTCTAGGGGTTGGTGCAGTGGGGGTCCATGATAAGTATCTGGGGCTTCCAACGCTGGTTGCCCGATCCAAAACAGCTACTTTCAGATATTTTGAAGAAAAGCTCCTAGAGCGGCTTCAAGGGTGGAAGAAACGGACATTGTCATGGGCTGCTAAGGAAACTTTAATCAAGTCTATAGCGTTGGCTCTTCCTCTACATGTTATGTCATGTTTCCGGCTTCCCCTGACTCTATGTCGCCTGTTAGATAAACATGTGGCCCGTTTTTGGTGGGGTGCGGAGGATGGGAATCCCAAGATTAGATGGGTGTCCTGGCGTAACATGTGCAAGAGTAAGCATGAAGGGGGGGATGGGATTTTGCCAGTTCGAACATTTCAACCAAGCTCTTTTGGCTAAGATAGGCTGGCGTATCCTTAATGAACCTCAATCCCTTATTGCTCAGGTGTATAAAGGCAAGTATTTCCCTCAAGGGTCTTTTCTAACTACAACTGCTCGATCTCGACCCTCTTGGGGGTGGCAAAGTATCCTTCATGGGCGTCAGTTATTGGAAAGAGGTTTGAGATGGCAGGTGGGCAATGGTCGATCGGTCTCCCTTCTGCATTCTATAATCCCCGGATCCTGCCAGAGGGGGGCGATCCCTTGGTGGCGGAGATAATTAGCGATGGGGGAGGGGGGTGGTCCGATGACATGCTCAGCCAATGGTTTGACCCGCCTACCTGCAAGGTTATAAAGGCTATTCCCCTCCAGCGTTGGGATGTACCTGATAAACTCATTTGGCATTTTACGGCTGATGGGGTATTTTCGGTTACGACGGCTTATCATTTGGCTGTCGATTTGGACAGGAGGAGGGGGGGTGGCGGTCCTCAGTTAGCTGGATGGATAAGACAAGTTGGATCAGGGTTTGGGAGGCTAAGAACCCTCCAAAGTTGAAGGTGTTTGTTTGGCAAATCCTTAATCGGGCTCTGCCAACTATGGAGGCGCTTTTTGAGAAAAAGGTCCAGGTGTTGCCTCGATGTCCAGTTTGTTGGGATGGCCCGGAGACAATGGAACACTTGTTTCTTTATTGTCTAGTGGCACGAGCTCTCTGGGATTATTCTGGGTTGGAATACTTGGGAGAGGGTTTGCCGCGGCATACTTTTCCTTTGTTTCTCAAACGCTTGTTGGGCTTGATCCAGCAACCGTCTGTGGTTATGGCGGTTGTTGCAATCCTTTGGAGAATCTGGCGATCTTGTAATTGGGTGGTATTTGAAGGTAAACAATTTGGGTTTCCAGCCCTCATGCACCAGTTTCATCAACAATATGAGGAATGGGTGGGTCTCCCAGCAGAACAAGCGCCTAGGGCTCAGACACCGGCAATGCACTTGATAACGATGTAATTGCACATATTTGCGCCCCTAGTTCTTATCCGTTTGAGGGGCATAGTCGTGTGTTTTGGCCTATTTTACGTCGAGTTGTGCTATTTTGTCATGTTTCAGGTCCCAGGTGTCAAAGGGAAGGCTAAGCGCGAGTTTCGGGGCATTCGGAGGTCATTTCGTCAAGCTGGAGCCAAAACACGGGCACACCTAAATCATTACACGGCCGTGTTCTGGTGGTCGTGCTTTTTATGCCGAGAGCTAATTGATTTGGCAAATTCAGCTGCAAACACGGGCTGAAAGCACGGCTGTGTTCAGGCAAAGCACGGTCGTGCCCACCGCGAAACACGGCCGTGTTTCCCCCATTGCACTGGACGTGTAATTAACACTAGCCAAAGCACGGGCGGGCTGAGGCAAAGCACGGCCGTGCCCTCGACCGTGCTTTGGCCTCTGATGCCTTTTTAAGCAGATTTTCAGCCAAAGAGAAGGGGATTCGAGTTTTTGAGAGAGAGAGCGATTCCTAGAGAGAGAAAGCGACGAACAAGAGTCTCCAAGTGCCCTAGCTTGATCTTCAACACCATTGGAGGCCAGTTTGAGCTTGGAGAAGTGCCGATCAACATCCAGGAGCAGGAATCCATCCTTCACAGTATGAATTCCGCGTCTGATTCTGCTTTTGCTTTCTTCTCCATGGAGTAGTTCTCCCATTCATCTGGGTATGGAGAACTCTAGATTTGTATGTTAGGTTTGATTGTATGAACCCAAGTACTGATTCTATGATTTGATTATATTCGATTGAGGTTTGAATGATTAAATGACTTGAATCCTGATCAAATTCCTGTTGTTTATGCTTTGACCTAGAATGAGAATATCTGCCTAGGTTGATAGAGCATCCTTGATTGAAGGTAGGGAGTTGGTGACTTTAGTCGAGGAGCCAACTCACTATTCTGTACCGGATTTACTCCGGTAGTGGAGGTTTTGTTTGTTAGGGCCTCAATCTGTTTACTCCGGTGGAGGTTAGTCGCCCGCTAGAGATTCAGATTGAGAGGGTCTGAAGACCTTTAGTCGAGACTTCAGGCTGTTTAAGAACCTTCCGCAGTATAACTTTCATAGAAACTGAACTTGGTAATTACAATCCGGCTTAACTGCAGTCTAGGGGGAACCATATCCGGGTGACCTCTCTTAACCTGAATACAACTGTTTACTTGCTTTGTTAGTTTGTTAGTTTAAACTTGCATTAAAGTTTCATTGCTAGATAACAAGAATTCACTGAGTAGTCATCAAATCTAGGACCCGGGTTGACATTTAAACCTAAACCCGCTATACTACGCTTTAGGAAGTGGTTTCACTTGGCCAATTCCTGGAGTGACAGTAGAAGTGAATCAGCACTCTACAACACAGTTGGGTGATTCCCATTATGTTTGTATGTGGGATGGGGCTACTAAGGGTGGGTCTCATTCGGCTGGAGGGATGGTTCTGTTTGACTCAACTCGGACACTCCTTCTGGCTAGAGCGGTCCAGTTTGCTCAAATGGATGATCCTGCAGTGGTGGAAATGCTTGTGCTTAGGGAGGCTGTTATTTGGTGTATAGATCAAGGTTTGTCGGAGTTCCGATTCGAGGGGGATGCGCAGGTGATAATTGATAAAATTAATCGGGCTGACATAAGAGATAGCCGGTTGGGTGCTGTTCTGGACGAGATTGTTCATTATTTTCATGCTCAGCCTGGCTTTAGTGTGCGTTTTGTAGGTCGGAAGAACAATAGGGTAGCTCATTTGGTAGCTAGAAAAGCCCTATCTTTGTATCCGACTATGAGTCGCTTCTTTGATTTCCAGACCTGGCTGGTTTCCAGGGTGTAGTTATCTTTTGTTCTGATCAATATATGATATCTTTTGACAAAAAAAAAAGTTAGGGATAAGTTTGTGAAATTGGTGTGAGGAGTGTCTTTAATGTTGATGATTTTTTTACCTAATTTTATTTACACAAAGTGGATATGCTTACCACCAAAAATCCAATTTTTTAGATTTCGGCAAAATATTATTGTTTTATTATTTTGGTAGTGTTTTTCAATTTATTAATTCATTATTTGAATTTTTCGAGTCTTATAATCAATTGATTATTTTGTTTAGAGCTATCAAGTATTTGTTCAAATGTACCAACAAACCAAAAAATAAAGCAATGTCGACTTTGACATCTAAACCAAGTGGTAATGGAGAACACCAAAACTAGGAAAATTTTCAGCACCATGTGTTTGTATTGATGAGATCAAAGCATTTCTATACTGTCGGAACATCACATCGGGTGAGGCATGCTGGAGGTTTTTTAAGTTTGATGTTAGCAATAATTCACCTTCTGTGTTGTGTATGTCATGTCATATACCTAGGAAGAATAAAGTGGTGACAAAGGAGAATGCAAAAATTGAAAAAGCTATTGAAAAAAATGAAGCATCAATGCTATTGGCATGGATGAAATCAATACTCTTTCTTCTGAGGCAAAAAAATATACGTTTGTTAAGTTTCCTTCATATTTCGTTTGGAATTGAAAGTTGAAAAGGTGACAAACGAGCTTGAACAATTTCATTGAATGCCTTCATGTGCTATAAATTCAAGTTAGGATACAATCACTTGAATTCCTTCATTAAATCTTCTGTATTATAATTTAACTCCTCAACGATCATTTGATTTCAAGAATTTATTCGGATAGCTCCAGATGGAATGGGCAAACTGGAAAATCAGCCTAAGACTTCCAATATTTCTGCAATAATTTACCTATCTCCACCAAGCTTATTTCTTTAATCTCATAAGTAGATAACTGCAAAAGGTAAATTTAAATCCCTACTTCGATTAAACAGGATATCATCACTCGATAGGTCCAATTTCCCCCCCCCCCCCCACAAAGATTGCACATCGGGCACTTGGCAGTGAATAAGAATTATGACAAACAAATTCCTTATTTATATTCAAAACCCCAAAATGTAACTTCTTTCGATCAGTCACTCCACTCATCAACATCTGCAATATCCGAAGAGCATAATATGTTTTTTGGAAGGAAGCACGAACAACACCATTAATTAATTAATATCTTCATAAAAACGATTGCCTCTGACTAAATCCAGCAACATGCGAAGATAAAATCTTTCTTTGACTGATGGAGGCAATAGACGTGATTATATATGACAAAATTCTTATTTTAGAAAGAGTTAATCTATGTCCTTCATTTAATCACACACTTTCTACATTAACATTTTGCCAAGTACATATTTTGTAAAATACAATGATGTCCATTGTCAAACTAAATTATTGTTTGGCTAATATTTTAAGGCAAGGTTAGTCAATATGTAATCCCAATTGATCTCCGATCTAACAACTCAAAATAGCAACTGGACTATTTAATGTCGAGTTTCAAGGAAGTGGCTGGCAATCAATCCCAACACAGATACTATTCTTCGTCTCGATATGATAGTTATTGACTCAAAGGTCAACTAACTAAAATCACACAAACTCAAACTCTATGGATAAAGTTTCAACAATGTATTAATATGCCTATTTTACTTCTACAGGGTAATGATATTTGGGTGCAAATTCCCAAAGGACTTTCAGCCGTTGTTTCGTGACTAGAGAGTATACACTATGATTATGATGAACTTTAAGGTCAATATGACTACGGGAGATTACCGGCCAATTACAAACAAATTGGTCGTCAAGTTTCACTCACTAGAAAAGTTACTTGCAAAGAGCTCCAACTAAAACTTCTTGATTATGTAATTGTTGACCTTTCGTTTAAAACAAAATGCATTACTTTACCTCTAATAGCAAATTTTCTCTGGGGTGGGATCAGCCAGGGCTTTCTGCTGGACTAAATCCAACTCCATTTCCTTCTCCTTGACCCTTCCTATATATCCGAGTACTCCTCTTTATTCAACTTCCTCAATAGGTTTTTCAGGTTCTTCAGCTTCTTAGAAACTCTTATTAGTGGGTGACCACTGACCCTACTACTCCAGGCCTCTTCAAGAAGACTATTAAATTTTGGGTGCTGCAACCAGAAGTTGAAAAACTTGAATGGCTTAGGCAGAGACTTCAACTCTACCTCATTTTCCACATACATAGGACAGTGATAAAAAACCCCAGGGTTTTGCAAGTGCACTTTACTATCTCTCATATGCTCTAACCATTCAAAGTTGACTAAAACTCTATCAAGTCGTTTTGAAATATGTCTTATCGTCTGCTTGTTAAGCCATGTGAACCAGGGATCAGTAGCTTGGTGATCTTCTAACTCAAGGTCAACAATCCACTGATTGAAAAAATGCATGCTAGAATCCGGCTGAGGACTGTTGGATGCTTCAGAAGGATGCCTGATATCATTGAAATCCCCCAACACCATCCAAGGTTGAATTCTAACTTGTATCCTTGAGATCTCATTATATAGTAGGACCCTAGACCTCTCATCATTTGATGCATTAACCACTGTGCCAAAGAACTTCTGCTCATCATCTACCAGAAAATGAACGAACTGATCTGATGAATGGAGAACCCTAAGCTTCACTTCTTTCCTCCAGAGCAACCATATTTTCCCCAACCCTGCTGGATTATGCTTGGCTTTAGATTCCCAGTCAGGAAACCTCTTCTTGATCAGCTTTTCAGTCTCTGAGATTCTTATTCGAGGCTCTAAAATAGCTACTATATCTATATTGTATTTATTTATTTTCCTAAGTAATGCTGTATATTTACCATCTACCTTGAATCCTCGAGTATTCCACGTAATGATCTTAATTTCTTGCCATGAACCTTACCACCTTTACCTCTTTTCTTTCCATTAAACTGAGGGACTTGAGGTGAATCAACCCAAATGTGCTTACCTTTATCCACTTTGTCCTGTGTGGAAGAGGTCTTTGAATTTTGTCCCCCCTGAGTGGACTGAGGTTGCCGTAACACCCCGAAATTTGGTTTTGAGTTTGAGCGATAATAAAGGAATGGATCGGTTCGAGAATTAAGTAAGAATATACCCATCCCTCATTGAGATTTTTAATTACAATTAATTGTAAATGAAGATCCTCCTAATTAAAATTCCCCAACCCATCCACCCGTTACCCTTACTTCCCCTCTCACGATCCATCTCCCATCTCTCTCTGTCTCTAGGATTTTACCCTAGAAGAAACCCCAACCCCACCGCCACGATTCCTTGCGCCTCTACAAAAGCAAGACTCTACAGTCACTAAATCCAACCCCAAACCCCATGCAATAATCCCTAAGACCCCTTGTTGCATAATTCCCCCTTCTCCCCCGGCGCCACAACGAGAAGAGAGGCAACATTTGAGTGAGGGATTTTCTTGGATTTTAAGAGACCGGGAGGTATTAAAGAGGGTCTAGGACGAGCGGAATGAAGTGGGCGCTTAGAATTAATTGGACCAAAGGGAAGATTAATTCGAGAGCAGCAGTCGGCGCCTACATGGAGAAGCAAAGGTACGAGCCTTGTGAACCCTATTGGTTGTTCAATGAATTGAGGAGAAGAGGTATGCTTGGTGTTGATATTGTACTGCTTTCCATGTTCGGTTCGCTAAAGTGGGTGGACAACCACAAATTAGAAAGATGGTGGCCCACCTCATGGATGGGATGAAGAGAAAGCTCATACGTGAGCTAATTTGCAAGTATGATAAATTGAATGATGTGGGTTACCAAGATTGAGCACGGAAACTAGTGTTGTTGGAGGAAGA